ACTGCTGCGGTGTAGGGATCACCTTTCGAACTTGCAACCGATGTCCTGCCACATAAACTGAGGATGGGAGTTCACGGCTGTCAAAAGTTAAACGAGCCACATTGCTAGGGTATCGTCTCCGCCCGCAGGCAGGAAGAACATAAGTGTCTACCTTGAGGATTGGGAGATCTTGGAGTTCCAGCTGTTCAAGAATGTCATTGCCACATGGCTGGAAATTTTGTTGAACTATGGTATGCGGCAGAATGACGGTACCACTACAAGAATTGAGGGAATGATGTTTTTCAATAGTGACAGGAACAGTATCTATATGGGAAAGAAGAGAAAGATAATGAGCTTGGGTAGCATTCTGTACAGTGATGATGCGCGTACCGCTCTTAAGAGCATGAAAAGAAATATCTTTACCAACATGGCACAGGAGTGCCTTGCCAATACTGTGGTCGGAAAGATAGGCGGTAGAGGAAGTTGGTCGTAAAGTGAAGAATTTAGTCCATTGTGCAGTCTGAAACTGAGCGTGGAAAGGGAGTGCAGGACGTGTTGATCTTTTCTGAGAAGAACAAGAAGGTGGAGAAGTATCATCAGCAGGTAACTGTCGTTGGCATTTAGGCGTGGGACCAGAATTGGTCTGACGCGGAACGGGCCGGCGATTCGAAAATTGCCGCACCGTAGAGGGAGAGGCCGGAAGCATAATCAAAGGAGAGTGGAGGTCAGATAAATCAAAGGAGTCAGTCGAGACCTCAGTACCTGAAGCGGGTGAGGAAACAGCACTGGCAAGAGGTACAGAGGCATGAGGAGTGTCCGAAGAGTGGTCCAAAGACGAGGCGGGGTGCGGTATCAAGAAGGGGCCCGGGGGAATCAGGTTCATGGACTAAGGCTGCCATGGTTAGGTTACTTCTTTCTTTTTGTTTTTAAGAAAAAAAAAGAAAGAAGAAAATAAAATAAAAATAAAAAAAAATAATAAAAAAAAAGGGGGGACTGGGGAGGGATAGTTCCTAGGAGGAATGAAAGGGCCAGAAATCTCCCTCCGCGCCCAAGAGGACCTCAGCACCGCAAGTAGTGTAGATGCAGCATGGAACCCGTGCCATACCCTACCCATCATGCCAATAAACTAGCAATCCGGGATAGCAACCTCACATCTACCGAGCTACCTCGGTGGACAAAAGAGAGGGTGGCCGGATATCCTCCACAAAGCATACCTCCTTCAGCCACCACCCCCGGAATCCGAAAGGTGGCTTCCAGAGATACACCCGTCGCACGAAAGACACCCAAAGCCACTCTCCGGGATACCGGAGAGGGATCGGGACATCCCCAGGCGATCCAGATTCCACGGCAAACTACGCCACCGCCAAGAACCTCAACGGAATGGGATGGACCCTGGTGCCCTTTTCCCTAGCTAGGAACTAGCGCGCCTGTGGGAAAAATCCCAAAGGCCAAAAAGAGGAAGGGCAAAAGGGAAGGGTGGGGAGGGGGAGGAGGAAAGGGAAAAGGGGAGGATGGGATAGGGAAGGGGGGATTGGGGGGTAATTAGGTTCAGTCTGAGGAAGGAGACCGACAGGTCTAATTCCTCAGACCAAGAGCCTCTTCACCACGCCAAGGAGCCCCCCTTGAAGAGGTTTGTTTTTCATAAATGGGAAAAAATATGGTCATTATTAAAATGATCTTACATCTTCCTTCCTCACTGAATATTTGTCTGCCCTTATCATAACTTACAATTACATCATCATGTAAAGTAAAAGGACACTAGCGCAACTAATGTGACATTTTTATTGTGGCAACGTTTCTCTCTCTAGGAGCTTTGTCAAGCTGTTAAAAATAGTGCATGGATACAGAGGGTATATATAGGCTCAGAGTGAGGTACAATACTAGTGGTAATAGTAGTAGTGATATAAGTTGTATTAGTAGTAGTAGCAGCAGTAATACAATATGGTAGAACAATTAACTTGCACATGAGTAAAAGGATATAAAAGCTATTACTTGGGTAACATAAAAATAGGTTAGACAAATATTTCTATAGGAGGCTGGATAGAGAAGGCCTGTTTCAATGTTCATTCTCTGTAATGTGCTTGTGTAGTATTAGCAGGAGAGACTGTGATGGCAGGGTTTACTGTTTTCAGGAAGATTCTTGCTAAGACTTCAGAGATGGTGAAGCTGCCTTTGCTTTGTTTAATTGTATCAGAAACAGTGATTAGTGATGATTCAAGGCACTTGCGTCTGCAGAAATTAGTTTCTTTGATCGCTAATTGGGTGTCCCTAAATTTCATGAGATGACTGGTGGGATTTCGGTGTTGTATGCAGGCGTTGTTCAGGTTGTCGTTCCTACATACACAAATGTGTTCACTGAGGAGGGTGTACTGTTTGTAATGGCTTGACAAAGCTCCTGGAGAGCGAAACATTGCCACAATAAAAATGTCACATTAGTTGCACTTGTGTCTTTTTACTCTACATATTGTCAGTAATTCTACCAACATTATTACAATTGTCATCAAAACTATAAAGCTAAAATGTACACAAAAATGTATCCTACCAACAATCTAACATGCAATTGAAAATTCATTGATGTACAGTGCTACTGCACCTGACACCTGAACAACATACAGTGGAGCCTCATAGCCTCATTTTTTGGCCATAATCCATTCCAGAAGGTTGGCCTAAGTTCAAAGCAATGTTTCCCATAAGAAGTAATGTAAATACAATTAATCTGTTCCAGACACCCAAAAATATTCACAAAAAATAAATTTTTTAAGGATTAATTATAGTTTTATGTACACAAAACAATGAGAACTAAATAAAATAAATAAACAAACATTTAAATCACTATTACATACCTTTATTGAAGACTTGTTGGCTTATGGCTTAAGGAGAGAGGGAGGACTGATTATTGTTTGGAAGGGGAATCCCCCTCCAAAAGGACTTCAGGTATCAAAGACCTCTCTGGGGTTACTTCCCTGCCTGCCTGCTACACTCCCTGCCTGCCTGCTACACTCCCTGCCTCCCTTCCACACTCCCTGTTTCCCTGTTACACTCCCTGCCTCCATGCTACACTCCCTGCCTCCCTTCCACACTCCCTGTTTCCCTGCTACACTCCCTGCCTGCCTGCTACACTCCCTGCCTCCCTTCCACACTCCCTGTTTCCCTGCTACACTCCCTGCCTGCCTGCTACACTCCCTGCCTCCCTTCCACACTCCCTGTTTCCCTGTTACACTCCCTGCCTCCATGCTACACTCCCTGCCTCCCTTCCACACTCCCTGTTTCCCTGCTACACTCCCTGCCTGCCTGCTACACTCCCTGCCTCCCTTCCACACTCCCTGTTTCCCTGCTACACTCCCTGCCTCCATGCTACACTCCCTGCCTCCCTTCCACACTCCCTGTTTCCCTGCTACACTCCCTGCCTGCCTGCTACACTCCCTGCCTCCCTTCCACACTCCCTGTTTCCCTGCTACACTCCCTGCCTCCATGCTACACTCCCTGCCCATGGTGGCTTATTTCAGTCACATTTAATAAACAAGCCACATCAGCTTCCTTGATTTATTCTTTCTTTGCTAGGATAGAGGTGATAGTTGATTTGTTTTTGCCATACATCCCATGGTGACTCATTTTACAGTCGCATTTAATAAAAAACCACCAAAAACAATGGATTTTAAGGAAATGTTTGGATGAATGCATGGAGTATATACTCACTCGCTGACAGACAAAGGGAGACTGACTCGCCTACGCGTGGCATCCTGGGTTGACGTGTCTAATACAACCGATATACAAAGTAACAGTCAAAATACGGAGCAAATTTCTGTCGAAAAACCGGCCTAAATACGAATCAACTGGTAAACGCAGCAGCCGAAAAACAAGGTTCCACTGTATTAACGGGATACTGCTAAACCCATGAATTATATAGTACAGGGTTTAAGCAACCAGGTTCAATCCCAGGAAGGGAAAGATACTGTATTTTATGGCATCGAAGATGCTACTTTTTCCCAAAATGTCTCAAAAATTTACCTGGTGTCTTGGAGGCCAAAGTACCATTAGGCCAAATTTTGGATAAAAACAAAAAAAATGATCAGAAAGGGGAGAAGGATCCTCAACACTGGCATGTCTTGTTCACCATAAAATATGGTACTGTAGCTCCAATTACTTGTATTAGGAACTCTTTACTATCACTAAGGTACCCCTTTGAAGGATATTACACCAAAAAATATTGTAAATTCTGTACAGAAGAGTAAAGTGTTAATGAGACTATAGACTGCCATGCCAGATAATTAGAAGTAATTTTCTGCCTACAGATAGACTGAAATTAAAATAATATTAACATATCTGCCCAACAGTTAATCATGGACTAGGTCTTTCTTTCAACACACCGGCCGTATCCCACCGAGGCGGGGTGGCCCAAAAGGAAAAACGAAAGTTTCTCCTTTTACATTTAGTAATATATACAGGAGAAGTGGTTACTAGTCCCTTGCTCCCGGCATTTTAGTCGCCTCTTAAAACATGCATGGCTTACGGAGGAAGAATTCTGTTCCACTTCCCCATGGAGATAAGAGGAAATAAACAAGAATAAGAACTAGAAAGAAAATAGAAGAAAACCCAGAGGGGTGTGTATATATGTGCTTGTACATGTATGTGTAGTGTGACCTAAGTGTAAGTAGAAGTAGCAAGACGTACCTGAAATCTTGCATGTTCATGAGACAGAAAAAAAGGACACCAGCAATCCTACCATCATGTAAAACAATTACAGGCTTTCGTTTTACACTCACTTGGCAGGACGGTAGTACCTCCCTGGGCGGTTTCTGTCTACCAACCTACTACAATGGACTAGGTATGATTAAATAAAAATCATCTAGTACTGTATTATAATTTGAATACTTGTCATGGGATTTGTTTACAAAACACATGATCAGTAACAGACATATGCCTTACTACTATTCACAATGAGAAAGACAAATTTAATAAATGTCATTAATATAAAAAAGACAAAAAAATATGCATTAAACTTACTTCTTGCTTATACTTACCATCCGACGAGGGACAAATTAAGTTTTTCCATCTCAGCATATAATGCCTGTTCAACAATTCGGCCTTTTTCTCCATCACCTAAACGGCACCGCACTGGCAACGCATGAGAAACTATCAAGTCTGTGAACAATGAATCAGTAAGAGCATTATCAAGAAAGTACTTAACAATATATATATAACAAAGCTTCTCTAAACATTTCAGTCACTAATTATATCCACATATGCAGTATACGAGTTAAAACTACTGAGAAAAACTTTTAACATATGTTGAAGAATCTACATACTTGTAGTTATGACAAAAGCATGGCAGTTACCACTTGTTTGCACTGAGAAAGAAGAACACGTGGAATAGATGAGAGTTGCCTTATGAAGTACCACAAACACAGAAAAAAAATAAGGAAAACTTAAAAAAAAAAAAAAAGAGGTCAAAAAAGTACTAAGAGGAAGGTGAGAAAATTAAAAGGCTTCCATAATGATTGAAAGTTACTGATGATTCCGTTTGATAATTGAACCTTTAATGAACACAGTTCAGCTAGATTATTACTACAGATACACAAACATGGTTTTGTTTTACTCTGTTTTGATGAAAGGATCTTGATCCAAGGAAGTGAAGTTACCCATCCCTTTCTTGCATCAAAACTGATTTTTCCCACTCCTCAAGTGCTATATGATCCCTATGGATTTAGCACTTCTCATAATTATAATTAGTTTTGCTAATTCTCCTGTTCAAGATTTACAAGTACCTGTCACTGTCTTAAGCATTAGTCAGTTACTTACTGTGATTAGTGACATCCCACTGTCCAGCCAAGTATCCTACAACTTCTGATGTAGTCAGGTGAGCATGAATATCGATCATAGCCATGGCCGATGACGACATAGTAACGGTGAAGGGTTGCATTCGTCCCAAAGACTGGAACGAAGTTAATTCGACCATTGTGTTCATGTCACTGAAAAGATCATAGAATTGTATGTAATTTGTACAATTTCAATTTGATTAAGTTACAACAACAAGACTGGCACAACTCATAATTAACCCATTGTTACGACTTTGATCCCATGTTATGACTTTGATGTCGTAACTTAAATAAAATGTTCCTGCTCCTAAATAAAATGTTCCTGGCTCCTAAAGGCTGCTCACACTGCTGTCTAGGGGATATAAAATTACTCTGAAAACACAGTGAACCTTGGGCCAGCATGTACTCATATATTAAACAATATTAATTATTATTAGGAAGGAAGGACAAAAACTCACCTATATAAAATTATATCTGTATATATGTTGGTAGAATTACTGACAATATGTAAAGTAAAAGGACACAAGTTGCACTTGTGTCCTTTTACTTTACATAAAAATATCTCTATTATAATAATAGTAACTTACATACAACTTACAATCTACTCCAAAAAACCACCAGACTCCAGTTCACATTAGCTCACTAGCACACTGCTACTAACGAGTTAAACAAAATAAATCATCAGGGAGGCTCCATGACATACACACCCCCTCTTCACTTCTGCCTAGTAGACTAATTAACGGCAGGCAAAACACCATATACATAAACAGGCCTCTGCATACCAGGGCCTTATAAATAAACATAAGAACACAAATGCCTATAGTCGTATACACTAAAAAAACTTACCAAAATTACTTACTCAAACTACCGCCCAAACATGACTTTACCTCCATCACCACCAACTCGTACTGAACTAAACACACCTCTCATCTGCTTCTGTCCTGGTCACTGCCTGACTGACAGGAAAACACGTTCGCTTTCAGTTCAATCCTGGAACTATGTTATATAAAATATTTTTTCTGCATGTCACTCCGTAAAACTCATAAATTGCTTTAATACAATAAAAGTGCAGTGGTACGGTTATTTCGGAGCAAGGGTTAAGTAACCTCTTCTCCTGTAATATTATTACAATGTAAAAGGAGATCTTCGTTTTTACGTTACTGGCACCCCGCTCAGTTGAATATCGCCGGTTTGTTGAAGAAAAATGAAGTCGGTATTTGGTAAGTTTAATTGCCTACTCAACAAACTGCATTAATTATATTTTCAATGCAACAGGCTATCTCCAGAAATAACTGATATCAAATAGAACACATTCACCTCACTCCTTGAATATATTGTTGCAGAATGCATGCATTACAAAAACAAAGATATCTGTATGAAAAGCACATTAATTGTTCTTTAACTTAGTTATTAAATTTCTAGTTCATAGACATATGTCTCCAACCAGTAATTTTCAAGAGTGAAAAAAGTTTAAAGAAATTATAAATAGTTTTGACAAGGCCCGCAAAGTCCAAACATTGCTTGTGTAATTTCCTTGAACAAATCTTCTCCAAACATCAGTTAATTGATTTGTAAGTAATTGAGAACATTTCTGAGCCCCCTCAGGGTGGTGCCCCTGGGCTGCAGCCCCTAAAACCCATGCCTTAATCCGACCCTGCCTCCTCCAATCAGCAATCAATATTTCTACAGCATTTAATATAGGAAATTTTGCATCAAATACACCCCTCAAGGAAGGTTCCCTTATGCCAGTGAAAGACTTGATTCAAGAAACTGGAGTGATCCTACCTTTCTTTGGATTAAATCTGAATCTCATTCTCCAGGTGCTACATGACCCCTAAAAGTTTAGCACTTCTCCCTTGATTTAAATAAAAAAATCAGGGAGACATAACACCTCATTACTAAATGGTTATAATCTTAACCATAATTTTTAAAAGGGGTGGACCAGTAAGCCAGCAAAAGGCCTCGGTCAGGTGACCAAAAGCTCCAGCTGTGGTTCATCAGACTAAGACTGGCATCAGGAAACACTTGTCCTGTTTCCTGATAAACCTTACCTAACCTAACACCTTATTTACTTACTGGTTGGGATGTCTGTTGCCAATTAACTCAAACTCAACAATCTCCTGCTCGTGAGGTCCGTCACTGTCACTGTCAGTCATCTCTTCTTCATCTGCAATGAACAGATGACCTTTTATTATAATCAAAACAAAGCACTAAACCTACTAGGGCAATAGATGACCTTAATTCACAACATTATTCATTAAACAATACAGTATAACAACTATTTACATAGCATTTACATTGCATTATTTATTAAAAATAATCTAGAGATGATTTTAAGTATACAGGAGGATGTGCATAGGCTATATGCAAATACTATTCTATTTTATATATGGGACTTTAGCATCCATAGATTTTGGTATCTGCAGGGGGTCCTGGAACCAATCCCCCGTGGATACCGAGGGATGACTCTGTATAGTGTAACAATAATAAACTACAATACTATGAAGATAAGACTTGACAACATTTCAAAAGTATGTACCTGTGTAATGTTTTGACTAGCACTCATGGGATGGGTTTGAGATGCATAATAAAAGACATTAAAATATAAACTCTCTCCCTCTTATGTACTTTCTACTTTCCTGCTAAGTCTGCGTTTAGTTTGAAAGTTTTCAAGAGGAAACTAAACCACGATCTCCTTTAACCTATATTAGTAACTCTAATGTCTATTGAAAATTTTATTACTATTATTACAGACCCCAATTTAACAAACTTTGGAATTATGGGACAAAATCTGCTGGGTTAACTGATTTGGAAACAATGGACACAGGCTGTTGATTACAGAATTAATTGTTATTGCTATGTTGATGTCAAAACAATCTCACTGCTATCCACTACAAACACCATTACCAGTCACCCACTTTTCCCTCTTACAGTGGTCCATTAAGTTGAGGGGTAACTATTATAGATCAACCAGGCTGTGTAGGCCTGCAGGTTGCTATCAGCAACAGCCTGGTTGACCAGGACAGGCTGCAAAGGCAGAACCTTGTATGAAACTGGTTACAGATATGTCAGAGGTATGCCACAGCTTGAACTATGCTAATACTAACCCAATGCTTCACCTTCCCTCTCAAATTCAAGCTGCTTCTGCCTGTACCAGTTGTTCTTGTAAGAATCCAATTTCTTTCCACGGTATCGTACCTGATGATGGAACACAAACGTTTACATGTGTCATAAATCTGTTAACACAATGAGAAAAAAGAAAATTGATTATTTAATGACCTCATCTACTGTACATAATGTACTATGTATTACAAAAGTTTAAAAAACAAAAAAAATACACAGTCCATGTGAATGAACAGTATATAAAAGAAAATCTCGTCTTGTTTATAGACAAGTGTCTATAAACTGTTTATGAAAATGAATTAGTACAATCTGAGGAACTAATGGATGGAGAGAATAAAAAAAAATATATGCATGTTAGAAAAGTATAAAAAATACAAATAATTCCTATAAAAACTGAAAATGGATAACCATTAGAGAGAGCACATACTGTTGTAATTACTGGTAGAGAAGTTGAAATATGAACAAAGATGGATTACCATACTCCCAAGTGCCCAAATTTATAAAAAAAATGCTTACATAAATTGCATTACTATGCAAAAAAGCCTACTAAAAATATTAAACAATATTCTACTAAGAAAATAAAAAAATGGTCTGAGCGAACGCACACACTTTACAATACGTGCAAAAATATAACAGCCATAAAAATGTCTAATACAGTACAGCACAATAATGCCATTCTACAGGAAATAATATAAAAAATTACAATATAAATTAATAAAGCACATCGAAATGAACTCCAGAAAAATATACAAAGTTGCCACGACAATGATATCTTGCTGATGACACTGCTCTTACCGACGCCCATCCACAACCCGATTTCTTGTCTGGGTTAACAATCTTCTTACAATAGATGGCCCATGCACTGGGTGTACCGAAGATCTTATTTGTTTCTTGTGACCGAATTCTCCCATCGGGTAACAGGTCACCCTTAAACTTGTTACCCTGGTTACACAAATACGACTGATTAATTCACCAACTAGATTGAGAAGATACTGCTAATACATGTGAGTAATCATGTCATGGTTAGTACAGTAGTAAAGACTAAAAATCTACTATAGTTAAGTAGAGTGTCAAAAAGCATAATGTGGTACAATGCATCAAGAAACCATTCAATAGTTAAGAGAGGACATAAGAACACAAGTTTTTAAAGTTAACAGCAATAATTACCAAAACCTATTTTTTCTTACTATTTGTGAGGATCTCTAAAGAAAGTTTAATTTTGTTTTAAACAAAGTTTCTTATAGTTTCTGTTGTGCTTCATGTTATACAATAACCTCAAGTGTAAGTTTATCACATTCCTATCTCCTTTCCCTTTTACATTCAGAGATGAACAGACTGATCAAAGAAAAATTGACTTGTAAATTTAATATCACTTCATGCTACACAAGCAGACACAGTTGATAAATCTGTGGAGACCCTAAACTAATAAGTGTATTAGCTACTTATAAAGGATTTGACTTCAAGGATATGCACCTATATTGCGTAAGTTTATTATTACATGAAAGCCTTCGAAACTTGAGTGGAGAGCGTGATGCTAGCAGCAACTGAATCAGTCCCCTTTAAATACTAATGAAGCATCCCTTGACATCTTCTTAGTAGGAAAACTAAATTCCATGCTTCATATGCATGTATTGTACAGCTACTCCATTGTTTTGATGCATTTTTTTTACTCTAGTGATTGAATTTCATAATTAAAATACTGCACAGACTAGACTAAGTAATGGAATGACTTTTACTGGAGTGTCTCCCTGACAATTTAACAGTCAAAACTTGACCAAATGCAAATTAATATTTCAGGCTCTTCTTTTCCATATAAAATAATGTTTAACACAGCAACACACACATACCAATTTGTGTGTTTACTAATGACATTCTAACATGCCCCACTCTTGGCCTAATTTTGCATTTACAACAACAATAAAAATAAAATGCAGCATTAAACATTTTTAATACTGGACAAAAGATATATAGATAATGAATAGAAAAATATGCAACATAAACTATCAATTATGATTCACTGAGCTGCCTTTGAAATTACTGTAAGACACTTAAGTATGACTATTTGCATTAGTTAAAACTTTATACAGTGGAACCTCTACTTGCGAGCGCATCCATGTGCGAGTTTTTCCAAATACGAGCAGTCGATGGGTCAATTTAGCAAAATTTCCATAAGCAAGCAGACCTCAAGGCAGGTTCCTTGACGCTGGTGAGGGGCTCCTGATCTTTATCTAGGTAACTGTATTTCATTTGTTTGTTGGACTATCTTATTGAAACTTGGGCAATGTATGATGGAAAGATGCTTCTTAACATAATAATAATAATAATAATAATAATAATAATAATAATAATAATAATAATAATAATGATCAATATATAATAAATAGAATATTCATATATAATAATATAATAATATGTTTAATAATATAATACAATAATAATAATAATAATAATAATAATAATAATGATCATATGTATAATAATAATAGTTTAATAATACAATAATAATAATAATAATAAAATACATATAATAATAATACATATATAATAATAATGTACTACATAATAATAATTATAATAATAGACGACTTCAAAAGGCCGTCACTAGATGGCAGTGTTTACCACTGCCACCTGTTACATAATGACATTTTATGCATTCTGGAGTATATATCAGGTTTCTATTATATTGTTTGTTATGTCATATTAGATGAACTTTGATAGATAAATAAGCCATAGAGTTGATATTAGCAAAATTACTGAAGTACAGAATTCCAATGGAATGGATTAATTGCATTTCAATTAATTTAAATGAGGAAGATTGACTCTGCAAACGAGCAAATCCAGTTGCGAGCAAGGTCACGGAACGGATTAAACTCGCAAGTAGAGGTTCCACCATACCTTCTTAAAAAGACATACATATAATAATTTCTACTGTTTATTTATAAATTAATTTCCAAAACATATAAATTAAAATTTTCAGTAGACTTATATTAACATTTATTATAGTTTTGGAATAACACACACAATCAGGTTTATATACGTATTCCGATATGTAAAAAATAAACAAAGTTATCTTCATATTCCCATGGGAATAACAAAAAAAGGCACAATACCGTGACTGGAACGATACACAAATAACCCGCACATAAAAGAGAGAAGCTTACGATGACGTTTCGGTCCGACTTGGACCATTTACAAAGTCACTGTTGTCTTCATTCTGGTTATTTCAACATCAGGAGCGTTACCACATAAGATGGAAGCTATAAAAACACTTCGTAGTTTTGTAATGTGTAACATTTTCTATTAAAAGTTTAGAGTAATATAACTTTTTTTTTTTTTACTAAGACCATACAATAACTAAACTCAACTGTGTAAAAAAAAAGCACAGCTGATGAGAACATCTTAACAAACCTTGCTGTTACTGAACTGTTGTCTCCGAACTTACGAAGGGCAGAGACCAACACGTACCCTCAATACACTATGAAACCTATCAACGCTTGGTAAAAGGACACAAGTGCAACTAATGCAACATTTTACTGTTGCAACATTTCACTCTCCAGGAGCTTTGTCAAGCTTGACGAAGCTCCCAGAGAGTGAAACATTGCCACAATAAAATGTATTAGTCGCACAAGTGTCCTTTTACCTAACACATTGTTGGTAATTCTACAAACATTATTACAACCTATCAGTGAATGACCAACATTAACTAAATAATGTCCACCTCATCACTACCATTAAATTACACTCAGTTACTGAACATTGTAAATTTATATGCCAGAACTAACTGTGTTCAGAAACAAACAAAATCACATCTTATCAGTTTATCCATTGTTCAACAGTTCTTATCAGTTTATTCATTGTTCAATAGTTATGACCAGTTTATTCATTATTCAACAGTTATGACCAGTGTATTCACTGTTCAACAGTTTTATAACCAGTTTCTCTCCATTGCTCAACAGTTTTATGACTAGTTTATTCATTATTCAACAGTTATGACCAGTTTATTCATTGTTCAACAGGTATAATCAGTTTATTCACTGTTCAATAGTTAGTTTCTCACTAGTGGTTTTATTAATCTTTAACTTTCTATTTGAAAGATTACATAACTGTGTTACATTCTCTTATAAACTATATTTTGTTTGTTACAACAAAATTATATCAGAAATAAGCTTAAACAGGTATAGCACATAGTAACAGCGAACATTCCCCAGAGTACAAATATTCCATGAAATGGAAGGGAGACCACATTATAGAATAATTATTGTTGGGGCAGGTGGTTTTTAACCTTTAAAAATGCATAGAGGAGGTTTTATCCAAGTTATCAAGCCTTATCATGTTAAAATTGTATAAAATGGATGATGTGTAACCCAGCACAGTATATTTCGTAAATAAAAATACTTCGTCTAAGTGTGCACTAATAGAATTCATAACTACTCATACAGCAGTTGTATCCTCAGTAAAATAAATGCAGCTAAATTTCATTATTTACTCAATGGCTGACTTGCCAGAAATGCTTGGACATAACACATTAAATGAACATCTGAACTGTAACAGTCCCACCCTTCCTTAAGTACAGTACAGTATTGAAAGCTGCTTAGAGTCACAGTAATCAGTCATTTTAATATTCATATTTCTTACCAAACATTTTCAGTATTAAGTATTTTTAGATTCAGAGTAATTCTATATTTTTGCAACATTTTCCCATAATGTCACACACAGAATTTGCATCTGGGGATCCACTTTGGCAACTCGCTTCCAATCAGTTGCCATCTAATCAAAGGCAGCTATCAGAAAAAAGCACAACTGTAAGTACAGGCAACACACTGTCTTTATTTAAATCCCTAAACCTTCCAAATATTAATACCATTCTTTTTTATTACTGTTTTCTCTGCATCTTTAGACATTATACTACAATACTGATGCTCAGAAACTTTGTAGCAACACAAAGACATCATACTAGAAACAAATGCTTCTTGGATATTCCTTGTATTTGTTTGAACCTCTAGAGGAACTATGCAAATTAAAGGGAAAAATGTGGAGTAACTTCTCAGATCAATATGTAAAAATGTAACACACTAAATGAATTCCAATCAGAGCAAAGGAAAGTACTGTGTGCTTTAATACTTCAGTCATGAAATTCCTTGTACAGAAATTCACTAAAACAAGTTTTTTAATTGCTAAAGTTTTCATATTTATTGTTATCTTAATAATTGCATCATGTCTTGATTTCATCCCTCTACATTTTATTGTGTTCACCATATCTTTAACCTTTATCACTTTATTATTATCAATACTGATTTTTATTTCACTTATCATTATCATCCAATTAATTTTGAATTCTACATATAAAATATTATCAATCAAATAACAAAAAAAGGCACAATACCGTGACTGGAACGATACACAAATAACCCGCACATACAAGAGAGGAGCTTACGACGACGTTTCGGTCCGAGTTGGACCATTTACAAAGTCACACTAACCAGAAGTGAAGCAGGACGGCTATATATAGGCAGGAAGAGGTAGTGGTGGTAGTAGTAGTAGTAGTGGTAGTAGTAGTAGCAGTAGTAGTGGTGGTAGTGGGGAATTAAGGAGGAGGAGCCAGCCAAATACAAAGAAAGGGGAGCACTGCAAGGGAGCTAGGTGCCCACAGAGGGAGAGCAAGTGCACAGAGGTAGGGGGAAGGGGAAGTGATGAAATAAATAATGAAGGAACAGAAACACGCGACAGAAGAAAGAAAGACAAAAAAGGAAAGAGGAAAGGGGAAAAGGGAGAAGAAAAAAAAAATTGAGGAATCAGGTTAAGTCACGGGTGTTCTGAACCTGATTCCTCATTTTTTTTCTTCTTCTCCCTTTTCCCCTTTCCTCTTTCCGTTTTTGTCTTTCTTTCTTCTATCGCGTGTTTCTGTTCCTTCATTATTTATTTCATCACTTCCCCTTCCCCCT